GTACTCAAGCTAAGATAATTAAGACATCACATAAAGCAACTCTAAGAGAATCTGATCCCCTAGATCTTATACACTCTGATATATGTGAATTAGACGGAACTTTGACTAGGAACAATAGTTATTTTATCACCTTTATTGATGATTGTTCTGATTATACTTATGTATACTTAATGAAGAATAAAAGTGAAGCACTTGATATGTTTAAGTTGTATGTAATCGAAATTGAGAATCAACTTAGTAAGAAGATCAAGAGACTTCGTAGTGATAGGGGAACTGAATATGACTCTGGTCTATTTAATGACTTTTATAAAGAACATGAAATTATACATGAAACGACTGCTCCATATTCTCCTGAAATGAATGGTAAAGCAGAAAGAAAGAATAGAACTCTTACCGAACTTGTTGTTGCAATTATGATGAATTCTGGTGTTGCACCTCACTGGTGGGGGGAAATTTTATTGACTGTTTGCTATGTCCTGAATAGAATCCCCAAGTCAAAATGTAAAATCTCTCCTTACGAGATATTAAAGAAAAGACAATCAAACTTGTCTTATTTGAGAACTTGGGGCTCTCTGGCTTATGTCAGAATTCCGGATCCGAAGCGAGTTAAACTCGCTAGTAGAGCATATGAATGTGTTTTCATTGGATATGCAACAAACAGTAAAGCATATAGGTTTTATGACCTAATAGCAAAAGTGATCATAGAATCAAATGATGCTGAATTCTATGAAGACAAATTTCCCTTCAAATTGAGAAATAGTGGGGGCACACAATCGAGTCACACTCCCGTGATAAGAAGCACATAATGCAATGACAATATAGAAACAGAACTTCGACGAAGTAAACGAGTAAGAGTCTCTAAAGACTATGGGCCTGACTATGCGGCTTATAATGTAGAAGAAGATCCAATGAATCTTCAAGAAGCCTTGTCCTCTCTGGATGCTGATTTATGGGAAGAGGCTATCAATGACGAGATAGAATCTCTAGAATCCAATAAGACCTGAAACTTAGTAGACTTGCCTCCTGGTTGCAAACCAATTGGTTGTAAATGAGTTTTGAAAAGAAAACTAAAACCTGATGGAACTATTGATAAATACAAGACTCGCCTTGTTGCCAAGGGTTTTAGACAAAGAGAAAATATAGATTTCTTCGACACCTTTTCTCCTGTCACTAGAATTACATCCATTAGGGTACTTATTTCAATAGCTGCTATTTATAACTTAATAGTACACCAAATGGATGTAAAAACAGCTTTTTTAAATGGTGACTTAGAAGAAGAAATCTATAGGGAACAACCAGAAGGGTTTGTAATCTATGGACTAGAAAACAAGGTCTGTAAGTTAAATAAGTCGTTGTATGGACTAAAACAAGCTCCTAAGCAATGGCATGAAAAATTTGATAACTTAATGATATCAAGTGGGTACAAAGTGAATGAAAGTGACAAATGCGTTTACTATAAATCTGAGAACCGCATTTTCACTATCATATGTCTTTATGTTGACGATCTACTCATATTTGGATCTAACATTCAGACCATTAATGATGTGAAATCATTGTTGTGCAACAACTTTGATATGAAAGATCTCGGAGAAGCAAATGTGATCCTTGGCATCAAGATCACGAGATCCGAACAAGGAATTTCTTTGGATCAATCACATTATGTGAAGAAGATCTTAAAGAAATATAATTACTTTGAATGTAAACCTGCATGCACACCATATGATCCAAGTGTGAAACTATTTAAGAACACTGGAGAAAGTGTCAGACAATCAGAGTATGCGAGCATCATTGGCAGTCTTAGGTATGCCACTGATTGTACTAGACCCGACATTGCATATGTCGTAGGATTGTTATGCAGGTTTACGAGTAGACCGAGTAAAGAGCACTGGAAAGCTATTGAACGAGTCATGAGGTACCTCAAAAGGACCATGGATCTCGGCCTACATTATCATAAGTTTCCTGCTGTACTAGAAGGGTACAGTGATGCAGATTGGAATACTTTGTTAGATGATTCCAAAGCTACTAGTGGCTATATATTTAGCATAGCTGGAGGAGTTGTATCTTGGAAATCAAAGAAACTATTCTAGCTCAGTCCACAATGGAATATGAGGTGATAGCACTAGCCACAGCTAGTGAAGAAGCAAGTTGGTTGAGATGCTTGCTAGCTGAGATCCCTTTATGGAAAAAACATATGCCAGCTGTGTGGATCCACTGCGATAGTACCGCGACTATTGTAAAAATTGAGAACTGTTATTATAACGGTAAAAGACGTCAAATAAGAAGGAAGCACAGCACTGTTAGAGACTGTATCTCTAAAGGAGCTGTAAGAGTGGATCATATACGCACTGATAAAAATTTAGCAGATCCTTTGACAAAAGGATTAGCTAGAGAGAAAGTCCATAATACATCCAAAAGGATGGGACTAATGCCTATAAAGAAATGAGTTGCTCATAATGGTAACCCGACCTAGATGACTGGAGATCCCAAGAAATAGGTTCAATGGGTAATAACAAGTTAAGAGTAATATGAGATGATCATGCAAGTAAAGCATGAATCCTGAAGTAATAAGAGGATGAGATAATAGAAACTCTTAATGAGATCTATACTTTGTATGAAGGAGTACCTAGGCTACAGGAGTACTCTTGATAGACTCACCTATGTGACTGTGGAACTTAGGCCAGTTCCTATGGAATTACGAGGCAGGATTCCTAGAACCTTCACTAAACCGGGATATACGTGCAGGGCCATTAAAGCACGGGCTATTAGAATACACCTTAAGAAAAGGTTGTGTGCGGGTCTGATGTCTGAGATAGAGTTCAAGACAATAGTGTCACTCTTTTGAATCTGAATCCTACTTGCTACGCAAAGGTTCAAGTCGTAGACACCTTTGCTTATGCACAATCTTAGAAACGTTTGACGTACTTCTAAAAATCACCTTTTAAATTCAAGTGGGGGATTGTTGGAAATCTTGGTATGATGTAAACTTGGAGTGGGAGTTGGAATAATTTATTGACATTAAATGGGCAATAAATGAACACAAGTAAGAACTAGCATGGAAGTGAATTTGAAAAGATTCATTTTAGTCCCGAAAGAGTGGAAATTAATTAATATTAATATTATTATTAATTAATTAATAGATGGTGATGTGTCATGCACAAAAGACCAAGTCTTAACCTAATTATTGACTGGTTTTTGCTTCCTCCAAAAGACCAAGTCTTAACCTAATTATTCACTGGTTATTGACTGGGCCAATTCCACCTCTCCCACTATTTTCTCCCACTAGACCTGTTCCATTCAGTTAGACCTTTTGACTTATAAATTAAGTCGTTTAGGTTCATTTGGGCAGTTCCAGAATTTACTTCTACAATTTTTCTCTCTTCTCTCTCATCACTCACTTCATCTATAATTTTCTTCTCTTATTTTCGAATGGATCACTTCGTATCCAGATACTAAAACTGGTTAATTACCATCCGAAGGTGTCATTTTACGAACGACTAATTATAGTGCAAGTAATTGTCGTAATTGAACGGACTGTTTTATCCTGGAGGCGTCGTCGAAACTCGACTGCTTTGCATTAATATTGGCAGTACGACGAAACGTCTTAAAGAAAGCGACCTAGTACGCGACTCGTCCCGATACTTTTCCTTTGTGCCATTTTTTAAAATCCGGTTACTACAGAAAGTTATAGATACAAATCCAATGACTACAAACTGACCTTTTTTTTAAGTTAGTCAGAGCATTGAGCGGCGTAATTAACTATTAAAATTTGCTTGAATATCAAACAAACCTTAACTGCTTTCTGCTTGTTTCTCGGACTTCAGGAACAATAACATCAGTGTCAATGTTTCTGTTTACTTCGTGACTACCCTCTATTCCAACAAAATGGCTGGTACACCCAGTTCTAATTATTCGCTGTAGTTGATTTGTTTTCACCCAAATGATCTCCGAAACATGTTTATATCACCCATAGTTCTCTAAGCTGCAGAGCACAATACAGAAAACGTGCAAGCCAAATATAGATTATTAGTAAAAAGAAGCTTCCATGTGTTTTTGGTTATGCTAAGCAGATAACATAATTTTCTTAATGATCCGCGATGCCATTATACACAATATGCATAACTAGAACCAAACAGAAAACACAACTCAAAAAGATAATTCACCACATCATTCCAAAAACAAAAAGACCTTAAATTTAATAACAGAGAGAACGAATTTTATTAAAATTTTGCAATTTTAGGAATTATTAAAAAATGATAAATTTTTATAAACCCTAATTTTCATCGAGTAATTACCATTCCGTGGAAGCCGGTAGCAATTGTAATTGCAAGATCAAAGAGCCAGTCACTGTGCAACCTCTTGGCAACAATTAGAGATGTACATGGATATCCATGGGAACGGATAATATGATATCCGTTAGATAAATATAAATATGATATTATATTCGTCTCATATCCGTGCGGTTATCCGCTAAACGGATAATCGACAGGTTTTATAGTATTCGCGGATATTTATAGATATTCATGGATAACTTTTTTTTCTAATTTTTTTTTTCAATTTCTTTTAAAGACACAATAAGATATTATCGCATAATATCCATACAAATCTCTCTTATTTTAAGAACAAAATTTTATCACATTAGTTTTCTTCATTTTCACCCAAACATAATATTCAAATATTTTATTTTTAACAAAAAATAAAAGATATTGTGATCGTGTATAATAAACTAATATTTAAGTAATTTTTATAATTTATTAACAGATACGGATACCCGGAGACATGAGTATCATTAAACCCGTATTTATATTCATTACTAAACGGGTATTCAAATATCCATTTATTTTATCCGCGGATATCTAATAAGTTATCCGCCTCGTATCCATGACAGATTTTATCTGCAGATATCCGCAAGTATGGATTTTTTACCATCCTTAACAACAGCAGGATAAGTTGCTTCAAAAATATCCGCATTTGTGAAGTCATCAGTTGTTATAAAACCACTCTCAAATGTGTTGTACTGCAAAACCAATAAATTAACAACAAATTATGATCAGGAGCAACAATACAAATAAATACTAACATCCTTTTGGTTACAGCATGTCTTAGATTTAAAGTTAACTAAACAATAAGAACACGTACTTGCAAAAATTGATAAAATTCCATGTTTTGCAAAAATTGATAAAATTCCATGTTTTGCAAAAATTGACAAAATTCCATGTTTTGCAAAAATTGACAAACTTGTTAAGGTTGCAATGTTAATCAAAAATTGTGTTATGCTTTCTTACAATATCAATTAGAAATTTCATTACCTACACAATCTTCCATGTTTTGCTGGTAAAATTCAGCAGATTGTAATGATTACCCAACCCTGCAGCATCAGCCTAAATGAAACATGAATTCAAATGAATCTCAAGCAACCATGAATGCATAAGCGGTAAAGAAATATATAGAGGCAAAACTGAAGATTAGCAAAGTGAAATAGAAAAACATGAGATAGAAACTTTAGCACTGCAGTCTCTACACTGCAGTCACCAGAATTTTCTCTTTTTGTTCACGATTAAGCGGTGTATCATTATATCTCGGGGCGTTAAACAATCCTGGTTTTTTAAATCTATTATCCACCTCAGCAGCTCTGTAACCATAAAGTCATAAATCAAGTAAATTCTCAGCAAATTATAAACAATGACAAAAAAACTACTGTTCTCCATGCCAAGTTATACATAAACATCAATATCAAAAAACTACTCTACCACAATGTCAGTTATCAATATCAAAATAAATAAATTAGGGTTAGGAGCTCGAAAACTTACCCTAAATTCTGAAGGCGTCTTTCTTTTAGCTCCTAAGTCGCCCCAACGACTTTCGAAATCTCGATCACGTAGTGGCCAACAACTTCAATTTCTTTCAAATCTCCACCAATGTTGTTATTAAGCTTAGCAAACCAATCAGCAACCCATATTGTGGAGTTGTTGGAATTGGGGGTGGTTGATTCCAGTGGTTCTGCAGCTGCCACTTCTTCTTGCCGTTTCTGATTCGACTTCAATGGCAATATTAACACATAATCAGCAGAATATTCTTCACTCACCGGTGTATCTTGGTTCCTCATAATGAGATCGTCAGGGTGTTGTTCGAATGGAAAACCTTTGAATTCATCGTCGTTCTAGAAATCAAAGGTTATGGCTGAGAGAGGTGTGGATTTAGGAAGATCAAACAGTGGAGATGGAGTAGAATTAGGATTAGGGTTTGGATTGAGATCGGTGAAAAGAGCTTGGTGTTGAATAGGGAAGAGATGAAGAATTAGAATTTTTAGTTGTTTGAAGATAGATAGGAGAGAGGATGAGAATCAAAGGGTTTACATTGAGAAGAGGAATAAGTAAAAATGAATTTCTCGAAAAGAAAAGAAAAAAACAACACTGTTTGTTTGGTCTGTATCGAGAAACCAAAAAGGAATGGAAACTAACATTGTTTTGTTTGTTTTCAAGATCCATTAATTAGATTAATTTAAAATTAAATAAAAAACAAATACAAATACATTTAAAGAGTATTATTATATTGTATAGATGTAACTACAGTAACACATAAACTACTTGAAGAAGCTGATTTTTTTTTATTGCCAAAACAGGTAGGTCCTTGAGGAACAATGAGTACAGCGCAGTAATTTGCATAATTTCACAACATGTGTAAAAACATGTGATTTACAATCCACCAAGTAGAAGCTAAAACAGTTGTAACTCATCTTACAAGTACATGATATACATCGGAAAAATAATACAAAAGCTATCTAATCTTATTGAAAAAACTACCAAAACTGACAAATTAGATCCATTCCTTAGGGTTGATGCACGCATCTAAGAGTTTCCATTCTTCGCTTCCTACTTCTGGTTTCTGCATGCAAAATGATATCAGCATTTCCGTACAAGATCTATAAATGGAATATTAGATGCATCTAATATTCAACTTGGTGACACTTTAGTAGAATATAGATTATAAAATCTTACATGATCATATTCCCACCGAGAAGTCAGTGGGAGAGAAACAAGAATACTCTCTATTCTCCCACCAGTTTTCAGTCCAAATGTTGTACCCCTGTCATATACCTGTAGCCAAAAAGCAGTAGCAACATAAACTTAAACATGATCTTAAAAAGTGTAGAGCAAAACATTTTGGTCTATAAGATAGCTTAAAAAGTGTACCAAATTGAATTCAACATATCGTCCCCTTCGCAATTGTTGCCATGCTTTCTGATGTTCTGTAAAGGGTAAATCCTTCCTTTTCTCTATGATAGGTATGTAAGCGGGAATAACAGAGTTTGCACATTCTGCAAGTAACCATAGTTTAGGCAAGTACATAAATCAAAGAACTAAATGTCTTTCAGCCAAAAAGCTGAGAACCAACAAATTTTTATATATAAACAATTACCGGTAGCGAAGGAAAGGAGCATCTCCTGATCATAATCATTCAGATCATCAAAAAATATACCTCCAAGCCCTCTCCTTTCATCTCGATGCTGAATTTAGAATGAATAGAAAAAATAAGGAAATGCAATCAGCAACAGTATATACCATGACTCAATTCAATTAGCAAAAAATATATAGTTACACCACTTTAGCCCCTGTAAGCATGTCATACCGGCACCTATGATCTATCTAATTAGACACTATACTGACTCAGCTGGTACACTATGTTCAGAGAAATTGACAAACTAGAGAATAAAAATAATTCTTCCATCATTATCACTGTTATATTATATAAGTATGAGCATTACAGGCTCCTTCAGAGAGAGATATTCCCTCTGCCAAACAATCAAAGAGTTAACAAGCTAGTACATGAATGAATGGATGAAATAGTACTACTATCCTTCCGATTATTTATACACTCAACCCTAACAGATTCTCCTATAAAAGTGGCACCTCTCATGCCACATCAATAACTGCCAGGTTCCGTCATCTTCTAGAGCATACCTTCCACGGTTTGGGTTAGGGCCAGTGTCCAAAACCTGGTCATCTTCATGGCCCAAATCATTATTGGACCCCAGGGTCCTATCATTTTCTTTTGCAGGATTTATGAGTCTAGAAATCAAGTGAACCTTGCAGTTACAATGCATGCAAAAGAATAAGCCTATCAAAGACACCACCTATCTATTCGTATTATAATCTGCATATACTTCATGCGATGATGTCTCCATCCAGCTCGTGATGCCCCAGCATCACGAACACTCTTCCATTTCCTATCAAATCACTCTAACCTACAGTCATCATCGTTACAAACTACACAGACTGGTTTAATGTTTACTAAAGGCTTCAATTCATCATGTATAAAATTTATCAAAGCTAATGATAACAGATAGACAAGAAAAATTCAAATTTACTCTTTTACTTAAGGTTGATGAACTGAACACTGAATGCTCATTAATTGTTGTTTACTGATCCGTTTCAACTTTTATCAAACACACGGTACGACAAAAACACTTCATTATGTGAAAAAGGATAAGACTATACCTTGATATAGAAGTAATCGTCACACCATTTCTTGAATCGGGGATAAAATGTAGGATCAAATTTGTCACAAGTCTGTTTTTGAATCTGCCACAAAAGCATGAAGTAAACCCAGTCACGCACTTGTTATTGAGTGCCTTAAATAAATACAATGTCAGATGATCATGACAGTTTTAAAACAAAAAAAAGTTTAAACTTTAAACAGAAAATCATATGGAAGAATTTCTCAGGCATCCTATATTCTCTCTTTTATTAAACCAATTTGGACAAGAGATTCATATTTGGAAGGGGTGGGGGTGTAGAAGGTAATTACCGACTCCAAGTGAACATTTCGGAAGAAATTTAGGAAAACATGGAATGAATATTTCGTTTCCATTTTCATGGTTCAGTTCAGATATAACATAAAAAGAAATGTTTGAAATTAGATATAGCAGATTTCTCTCGCATTTGAAGATACATTTTATAGAAAGGCACAGAACCAAATCCCTATGCTTAATATTTCAGCACCACCCATTTCAAAGGAACCAAACTACACATATTATATTCAAGAAAACTTGACTAAAACTGCAAAACCATATTAAAACTAATCACCTGAGATGTCGTAAGGTGATATTTTAAAACAAAGGAAACTATTTTTAAAAAACAGTTTACCAAGGAATTTGATTCTTAGCCATAAAATTTGATATACCAATATTGTGTTAAGAACATACTGAGTGGAAGTGCTTCACATCCTCTTCAAAAATGTAAGCAGGGGTTAAGTCGGTTCCCCCACCGAACCACCATTGTCTAGGTGCTCCAGGAGCATCTGCAGAATGCAATAGCATGACTATCAATATAAGCAAACTCAAGAGTCCTGTTATCCAATGTTGCTACAAGTTTCATACTTGCTAGTATAGGATTAGACAATACTGTTATAGAGCACACTAGGAGTAATTAGCAGTGTTATTTCTGGTACGTGACAGATGCATATTGTACTTGTATATAGTAAGAATTCTGAATAATCTTTCCCAAAATGATTATAATGAGAAAAAGTAGCTCAGAAATGAACACGGCAGTGTTTGAATAAAAGAAAGAAAAAATATATCGCATTACCTTTAGGGGCATCAGTTTCAAAATAGCGATAATTGAAATGCAAGGTCGGGGCAAATGGGTTCTTTGGATGTAAAACCTGAACATATAGAAAGAAAGACAGTGAGAGAAAAATACAGATGAGTTATTGAATGTTTGGATTCAATTTTGAGAGAAACAAACATGATTCTAGAAGTATACGATTGATTTTGACATACGTAGACCATTTCAAGTAAAATTGATGTTACCTCCAAAATTTTATTCTATACTTGAAGTTGAAATTTCATGTTTTTGCCTCTAGAATTGAGTTTATCTATAAAGTTATTGTTGAACTTACTTTACATATGCAAACATAAATCATGTTATACCCAATTCAATGTGTGTTTGCTTTGGCATTTTCAACTCAAAAAACATACATTTATTTTGAAGCTCCAATTACTAGCTTCTATATTTTCACGTTATAATATCATTGGGATGTGGTTTTTGAGCTGCAAACGTTTCAAACATTGACTCAATCTATGTTTGGTTCCACATTTGAACCTCCCAGAATCGTGTTTCAGTAAGTCAAACTTGATTTAACCATGAATTGTCATGCTCAATTTCCAGATTCAGAATAGATTCAAGTCTGACAATCAATTCTACCTAAAAGTTAATATTTCTATCTTCTGCGTAACATGTATACACATACAAAAATAATTCTGATCTAAACTATCCAAACATGAATCGACAAAAATCATTTTTTCCATAAATACATGCAATCATAAATCACTTTAAATTCAAGTCACATAGAGCTAAAATCAATTCAATAAAAATCAATTTTCTAGCGCTGCCTAACCAAACAAACACTTAACTATACCAAAATTAAATCATTCAAAATCAATTTTCATCACAACATAACCAAAACACTTGTATGCATGTATGTATCTATCAATTAGTTTTTCAAAAAATTCCCCATAATTTCACGTGTTGTTCAACTCACTTTTACATAAATGTATTCAAACATAAATCATTTTACATCCAACTGATTTTAAACCCGAATCAATTCTGCCAAGCTTCGATTCTCGTCACTGTGGAACCAAATACACACTTAATTTTAACTAAAATCAATTTTCAGCCCAACCAAAACACTCATATGTATATCTATATCATGAATCAAATTTTAAAAAATTCCACATGAATGTTTCTAACATTTTTTTCAACAAATCTATGCAATCTCGCATTGAATTGTGAAAAATGCGTAAAACTTACAGAGCTGATTCCGGCAGCAAAAAAGGGAATAGGACCAGGCTTCTGATCAGTACTAGAAGCACCTTTAGCAGCACGATAAGCATCAGGAGGCATTTGACCATAAACAACAGAAACATTAACACCAGCTTTCTCCCAAACATCACCATCTTGAAGAACCCTACTAATCCCACCGCCACCACCCGGTCTAGACCAAACATCTTCTCTAAACTTTCCACCACCATCAGCAGCTTCAATCGCATTACAAACACTATCCTGCGCTTCTCTTATCATCTTCTCGAATCGAACCCTAACGGAAGACACACCGCCGTCGCCATCGCCATCGCCGCCGCGGAGAAACGTGTCCGGTCGTTCAGCTTCGGGAGTTTCCTTCTCTATAACGGTTGCTTTTACCAGAACTCTTCGATGAGATTTTGATTGGAGTAGTGGCTTAGGGTTTTGTTTAGTGAAGATTTTTGTTGGTGGAAAATTTGGAGATGATTTTGAAGAGGTGAGGGTGAATGGGATAACGGCGTATGACGGGGCTGTAACGGAACTAATACACGGCATTGTAACAGAATTCAGTTATGGTTAGATTTTACTAACTTGAAGGAAAGAAGAAGAAAAAAAGCGGTGATTGTGACTGGTGAGAGTTAGTCACAGATAAGAAGAAGAAGAAGAGAAATGAAGATATCGATAAGGTGTTCTGCTGGTTTTTTTTTTTTGTTAATATTATAGGAGAATATAATTTCAATTAAAATTTGATTAGGACTAAACTTTTTAAAAGTTCATGATTTTATAGAAATTAATTAAGATTATGATAAATTATTTGGATTTTTTGTTAATAAATAAATTGCACACTGTTTCTGGTATTTACCAGCGGCAGCCAAATGTCAAGTAACGCGGCCCACAGAAAGTAGAAAATGGAAATTGAATCCACCTCTCTCACATTGGTTCGGAACATTGTTATGTCTTCTCGTTTCATGTAGAACACAAGATTTAGCTGCTAAGGAGTTAATTAAATTTATTATAATGTAGCACACGCAAGAAAAATTCATTAAATATTTATTGAGTACTATAAATTCGAATCAAATAGCTATGAGTTTTTTTACTCAATCCAATGAAGTTATTGTCTTTTTAGAGAAAAAAAAGTAAAACTAAATTTAGGTATAAGTGAAGATGAGAAAAACATAAAAGGGATTGAATTGTGTTAAGTATTTTTTTTTTCAAAGTTTTTTTTTTTAGATTCTAAATATAAAGTCTAGAATTTGAGTAAGTTTTTTTTTTACATTCATATATCATAAATATTTATGGAACACATTTTATTGCATCATACATATCAAGCAACATAACTTTGTGTTTTAAGTTAACATTCTACCCTTTCAGGATAAGATTAAAAGCTATCGTTAACAACTATTCAGAGATTTCATATACAGTATGGATACACCCCAGACACGACGGTCATTCTATTACTCATTCGAAATTTCAAGTCAAGATACAGTATGGATACACCCCAGACACGGCGGTCATTCTACTACTCATTCAGACTACAATCAGATACAGACTAGATACGCCCCAGACACGGCAGTCATTCTATTTCTCATTCAGATTCAGCTATCAAATTCAAGTTCAGACGCACTCCGGACACGGAAGTCATTCTGCTACTCATACAGATCTCAACTTCAGATACAGTCCAGATACGCTCCAGACACGGTTGCCATTCTGTCACTCATTCGGAATTTATCCCCAGCACATAGATACTCCATACACAGATGTTTCTATGTCACCCATTCAGAATACAAATACACTCCAGACACAGCAGTCATTCTGATATTCATTCAAGAATCAAATACAGTTATAGCTCGGATACGCTCTAGACACGGACGCCATTCCCTTACTCATACAAATCCAGTCTCCAGATACAACGCAGATACGTTCCAAATACGGATACCATTTTGACGTTCATTCTCCTGATTTTCAACAAACAAGTTTTGGCTGGCATCTCTAAGCCCATCTCCAGCAAGATTCTACCATTTCCAAATGGCATCTCTAAGCCCATTCCTTCATCTACATTTTTGACGAGTGCAAATTTACGGGCACTCTAGTGTCCAATCCTCTTTTACCTTCGAGTCACGAAAGGCAAAACTTGCCAATCTAACTCTTCAGGTTCAAGAAGATTGAACAGGGGCAACTGTTGTACCCCAAAATTTGTCCTCTCATTCTATCAACTTTCCTCATCACAAGGCTCTTGGAACTCAAGATCAAGCTAGGGTTTGCTCTGCTCAAGACATCTCCTTGCACTGATGACCTAAATTAGGGTTTGAGTTTGCACAAGGATTTTTGGACCCTCAATGCTCAAATTGACTTTCATACTTCATATTGGACTCATAAGTTTGTCCATACCAAGTTTGAAGCCTTGAATCAAATTTTTGCCCAGTCAATTGGACAGTTGACCTAGAAAGCAGTTGTATTGGGGAAAAAGTCAAATGTGGCCAATTTACAGTCAAACCTCATGAATTTTGACCCACATCAACATTATTAACTCATATGAACCATTTGATTAAGTTTGGACTACAACTCCACAAGAAATTTGATCAGATCACCAAAAGGGCAAAATGGTCATTTTTAGGGTTTTGACTATACAAAGGCAATTTCTGACTTTTTGACCTAGCCAATGGCAAATTAGGTTCAAACAAGGACTCAAGGACTCAATTGCATCATCTTGACATATTCAACAAGTTCAAAAGATCTCAAATGCATGGGATTGACAGATGAATTTTTCAATCAACTAAGCAAAATTTGACTATGCACTGAAAAGTCAAACTTTGACTTTTTGGTCAAAATCAAGTGCCAAGGGTCATTTTTCATCAAGATGTGTCAAATTATGAAACTTGTTCATCAAGAAACCCAAAATTGCAAATTAGGGTTTGAAATTGAAAAAATTTCATAACTTAGAATTTTTCTAAGTTATGAAATTTTCTTAATTTTTCCTAACTTTGTCCCACATTTTCACCATGATGCAAATGGATTCAAACAAAACTTACAACATGAAAGTTGTAGTCCTACACAAATTATACAACTTTGATTCACAAAATTTTCTCAAAAGAAGCTTGGATCTCAAGTTATGATTTTTGGAACAAGGGTCCCTAAAACTTTAAACTTAGTGAAATTTTGCGCTAGTTTAGGCAGGATTTTGGCCTATCTTCTTGGCCATTTTTCACATAGTTACACTTGGAGTCTCAAGTTGCATTTCAAATATGGATTATAGAGCATGTTTCAAGCTTTCCAAATTGTCCAAGAACTCCTCAAACACATTTGTGGTTAGGGAGAATAGAATGCTTGAAGTTGGCAAAAACTCACTTTGTATCCATGGCAAATTCATGTTCACTCAAGTTGCATTTTCAAACTAGCATGTCTTACACTAGTTTTCAGGCTTCTAAACCACTTCACACTCCATAATTTAATGCAAATCCATTGAGCTAATGCATTGTCTTGGTCATTAGGGTATTGTACACAAGTTTAATCCCTAAATGGTAAAAGGCACATTTCTATTTTTGCAAAAGGTTGCTTTATGTCAAACCACTAATCCTTGAGCATAGAACCAAATCTCTTGCAGATAAACAAATCCACTAATTAGAGGGGCCAAGAGGATTGTATGCAGGATGATAAGATGGCCTGTACAGGACTGTAACCTCGCTTCCACTTTCTTACTTCAAAAATAAGAAACTTGTCCAAATGCTTAGAACTTGAAAACCAGCAAAGATCAACTTACACAAACACTTCAAACATCTTTCTCACAACCCTTTGAGCTAGAAACACGAGTGCTTGAGCCCCAAAACACCCCATAGCCAGAAATCACACTTCTTTGGCAAAATAGGGCAGGTGTTACAACTTGAGTTCCCCAGCTCATTTGGCTCGTGCGTTTTACCCCATTTTGCTTCAAACACCTTCCATTCAACTCACTCAAGATATCCCAAACCTCCATTACCAACTGTAACTCCATTTACAGTGTTCACCATTTTCATTTTGAGCTTGTGCAGGTTGAGTTCTATAGACTGATTCAAGGACATTCAAGGCAAGCTAGCTATTGGAAAAGGACAAGTGAAGTTCAGGCAAGCTACCATACATCTCAAAACTTGTTGAGAAGCACTGCATTTCCATACACGAATCCAACTGAAACAGGTTTTTCTTCACTTTCTATCTCTCTATTTAGGAACATTTAGCCTTAGGTTTGTGAATAAAAAATGTAGTGTTCATTGCTAGGAAGCCATACATATGCTCAGTTTCCATTTATATTAAGTGTGCTAGGAGAATTTCATCCATGAACATGCTGAAAAAACTAGGTCTGATTTTAGGGCCAGAGAAATTCTCTCTGGTCTTTGAGAGTTAGGATTAGTTGTTTATATGGTTAGAATCGTATTGAAATTCTCTACAAGTTTGATGTTGTGTGTTTTTGCAAAAGATCACGTATACATGATCTAGGATTTGAACCAGGCGCGTGCGTTTTTCAGTCTGAAGGTTGAAGATGAAGCTGGCTTGGCCTGGGCCTGGCCTGACTTGCTTCTAACACCTCTCATTTTCATTTTTGCACCCCCTGACCCATTTTCTTGTATTTTTACATTTTTGCATTTTTGTTTTCTTTTTTGATTTTGTTTATTTATTTCCAAGTATAAAAAATGCTTAAAAAAATATTTTCATAGTTTTTTACATTTATTTGGTATTTTATTTTATTTTTTCTAATATAGAAAACATTTTAAAATACTTTTATACTATTTATTTAAACTTAGAAATAATATGTAAATCATACTTTTATTTTTATTTCTTATTTTTATTCACACTAAAAATATTTTCTTGAATAATTTTATTTTTGTACATATTTTATTTTACATTGTACATATTTAATTTGATTAATATACATATATAAATATATACTTTTTATTTTATTAAATACTCTAGAATAAAAAAGTACAAAATATTACATTTTTATTTTTATTATTATTTATACTAAAAAATATTTTTTTGAGTATATTTTATGTTTGTACATATTAATATATTTTATTGTATATAAATAATATATTGTATTTATTTTCTTAAAGAAATTAGGGTTTACCCGTAAACAAATAAAATTAATCTTTTTTATTTATTTATTTCTTTATACTTTTTACATTAAAAATACTTTTACATACATAGGTAAATAAAAACCTGTTGCATAATTCATTTATTTATTTGATATATTTATTTATTTTGATCATTTAAATATTGTCCATTTAATATTTATGCAATTAAATTCAATTTGGATGTAATAGTAAATTAGGGTTTATATTTCTTGTCAAATACCCCCTATTCAAAGATTGTACCCCCATCCCCATAATCATGTTGTAATAGCTTAGAATTTTAAATTCTCGTACTTTACGCTTTCAATTATGCCATGATTAGAGAATTAGGGTTTGTATGCAAAAATCCAAATCAACAAGTAGCTTGACCTAATCAAAGAAAAAAATGCATGAAAGTCAAACACAATACACACTTGCACCCCTAGGGTTACAATCCACTTATTGCCTTCAAAAATG